GTTGTTGTCCTTCTAAGACATTTTTCTTTCGGCTCTTCTTAGGCAACACCAGTCATAATTGCCGGGACATTGACGACAGCTTTACCACCGTAGTTTGACACAGAGGTAAAAGTGAGACATGAACTGGGCACAAAATGAATGCTACGGTCATTATGACCGTTCCCCTCGTTGACTCGATGCCAATGGATCGGAAATGGTGTGAAATTATGTCCCCAAGTTCGTCATTCCTCGATCTGAGAGCGGTATCAGAGTCTCTGCGGTGTTTTGGAGCCTCCTAACATACACATACATACACCTGACCTAAAGTAATGAAAAGTATCACGCTCGGACTACGCGATAGCGAGGGAGGAAGTGGAGTCACTCGGCATTGTTTGTCTCACTGTGGTGTTTGTTGAGCAGTTATTAGTGTGCTACCAATCGCGATCAGTTGTGTCGCAACAATCGGTGGAAACGGGTTGATCTACCAAGGCACACATTCATGTACTCAGGCGTGCAACAAGGGTTGAAGAAACTTTCATCGAATAGGTACACGCTTATCCTTGTATAACTTTTCAACCTCAAGTATACCCGTTGTAACTTCAAGTGAATCCCACCAGTCGCATTATACTGGGAACCCCATAAAGGTGGTTCTGCCGTCACACGTCACCGATTGGACCGGATCTATCAAAACCCCATCAGGTCGGAGTTAACTGACTTCTCCAAAGACGTACAAAAGTACTGCTTGATTGAGAGTGAGAGTTTTGGTGGGATAGGTTTGAGTATTCGTCCTTCCACCCCACCTGGGAACTTTATTCTTGACCGTTGACTGAGTGAACTTTAGACAAGAATGAACGAACCCGGTGGAAACTGACCTCGATCGACCGTGTAGGAAGGTGAATCACGTCAAAATGAACCGACAAATCGGTCACCATGCTCACGGGTGAATGTTGGAACGAATGATCGCCTGAGTGGATTCAGTCTAAGCTCTCAAACTTCAAGCCTAATCCCACCTCCTTTTCCAAAACTGGAGGGAATAAACCCTGTTTCTCCTGACGAGATTCACCGAGTCTTGAGGGGACTCAAAGATAACAAAGCTCGTGGTCCCGATCGATTAGCGACTCATTTGTTTAAAGCTTAAGCCGACCAACTTGCAACACGTATTGCTGAATTGTTCAGTAGTTGTTTATGATCCGGAACGATCCCCAATTGTTTGAGGTCAAAGTCAAAGTTTTATTATGGGCATTACTTGAAAGCAGATTCTTTTCTTGTCCCATAGGGTGTTTACACGAATTGAACTGTAACAATGATGAACACAATTTCATATGATGTACTCGGTTTTGTTATGTATTCTCATGGATGTTGGAATGCATTGTGTGTTAATGATTCGTCATTTTTTACCTTGAAAGAATCAATCATTTTGGCACCAACAACATGAGATGGTGAGGAATTCCAGGCAGTGCACACTCTGTCGGCGAAGGCATGACGTCGATAGTCCAGTCGAGATTTTCGGAGTAGTAACTTGATTGGATTTCCCCGGAGATGAACGTTTGATGACAACGTCAAAAGTCGGTGACAAGGGTGGTTTGGGTTGTATAATATTTAGTACACTAAAATTAAGTCCCCCCGAATCCGACTACAGTGAGGAGAGAATAGACCCAATGACTGCAGTCTCCCCGTGTATGAATCATAATAGATTCCTTTGACCATCTTCGTGACGAGCCTTTGTGGACGCTCCAAAATCTTGTGATCACGTTGTAACCATGGATTCCAAGTTTGGATGGCATTCTTAATATGCGGCCGGATGTGTGCTGACAGCAGACGTGAGAATAAAGATGATTCAAAATGACCGAAAACACGTTCAAGTAGACCGACATGTTTCAGTGCTGTTAATGACACCCTGGCACAGTTAATAGAACAGCTCAGGTCTTCGTGGACTATAACACACAATTCCTTTGTTGATGCATGAGGCAGTAATTCGTTTCCGAGGAAATAAGGAAACCGCCCATGGTGGCGTAGCGAAATCACCTTGTATTTGGAGGCGTTAAATTGGATGTCGTTCACAATAGACTATTTGTGAGCTGCATTCAGTGTTTCTTGGAGTTCCAGCAAATTCCCACATTTTTCAGATTTTGACGTCGTCTGCAAACAATAATGTTTGTGGCCCTGGGACATTCGGCAGATCGTTTATAAACAAGAGAAATAGTCGCGGACCAAGCCCAGAACCCTGGGGGACTCAGCGAGAAACGGAGATAGGGGCGGACAGTTAATTAGAGACTCGAACCAACATGGTTCGTTGTTGCAGAAACGAAGCAATTCAATCAAGTGCGAGGTCTCTGATACCAAAATTGTACAGTTTACGGAGCAGTATTTCGTGGTTCACTCGATCGAACGATTTGGATCAACTGCATCGCCTTTGTCCATTCATCGCGGGCTAGGAGCAGATTGGTAGTAAATGATCTCTTTTGACGGAATCCATGATGAGCTGGGGAAAGGAGGTCGTATTTCTTTAAGTGTTCCATCAAGAAATCCGCTATGATGTATTCCATGACTTTGGATAGAATGGGTAGGAGTGTCACCGGGTGGTAGTTGGCAGGATCACTACGACAGCCGCCTTTATAAATTGGAGAAATTGTGCCTTGTTTCCACGACTGGGGCAGCACGGCTGAGTTAGCCCGGTCAGCACGGATCAGACCAATCCCAAAGAAAGTACCGTCCAACTGTTTGCACATCTGCGTTACTGAAAGCAGTAAATCTTCTAGCAAGCTTTCCATGAAACGATGGAGTACTAATTCCGAACGCGCGGCGTCGTCCAAAGTTGGGAGAGACCGGTTTAATAGGGCTCGCAGGACCACGGCATGCGACAGGGATCCACGCCAACTACGAGCTGCGTCGTCCTGATGCTCTGCAACGCTTGTTGGCGGTCGACCAGGTTGTAGAAACCCGCGATTCGGGCGTCCTCCTCGACGGCCCACTCCATCTTCTCCGGGCCTCTTCGCGCTGGATCCAGTACCGTCCGCGAACGACCATTAAGAAGCGCTTGGAGGACCGTCAACTTATCGCGGTTTTTCCGTATTCTCGCTGGCTCCGCAACGTCCTCAAACTCCTCCAGGAACGTCCACGCGTCTCCATCCTTGAAGGCTTCAGGCCATGGAACCTTCATCCTGATCCTGGTCACTGCACCAGTTATTATAATTCCACAGGACGGTGCCTGGTCGAGGATAGTTGTTTATTGCATATAACAATTGAGATATCACTAATTTGGCATACGTATAACAGATATATCATTTGAAACATTTCGTCGAAATTTCCAGCAGCACACCGGGTACTGAATGCAGCAGTCCGTAGTTTGCAACATTCTTCTTACTTTCCAAAGAAACTTCCACTGCCAGCATCCCTCATTCCGCTCTCACTGCGTGGTTTAAGATGTTCAGCTACTTCTCTCGATGAGGATCTTCTAGTTTCTAAACTCTGGGGGGAAAAATGAACATGCACAATCGACTTAAAATTTGTTTTAGGGGTAACATCCAAAGTTTTGTTTCAAGCACCTCCCCTTTGATGAGTGATATAACGCGTTCTAACTGTTTTACTTTGTTCTACTCTGTAAACTAACAAATGCGTTTATTCCCATTGAAAATAAAACGTTTTACGGATTTTATGTAAAAAAAAATCTTTGTATAACTAGTTGTTATTAAACACTAATGAATATAACAAAGAAGTCCGTCCATGATTTGCCAGTGCGTGGAATACTGCCAGGCTCAAGCAGGTGATTATTTCGAGGAACTGACAACAGGAGTGCTTGGCTAACCAAAACTTGATGAGTGCTAAGCAGCGAAACCGTCTCAGGAAAACGGCAATTTATCGGGGACTGATGTTCAATTTAGCCGATTATACCTTCTTTTGATGAGGTCATGCGTCAAAGGCGCCCAAAACTCCGCGATGACCAATTGAGTCGGTGACGGCTGGTACAACCAGGAAGGTGGCAATCAGATTGAATCAACGGCTGATTCATTGAGTCAGTGGCCATCTGATGTTACGTTATCGTAATTGATGGGCGTGAGTGTTTGAATGGCGTGCAAATGTTCCGCACATGAGGCACAATCGTCCCACCACGAAGTATGATACATCCTGTGAAATGCGACAAGTGGTAATTTGTACGGGCTTCTATATTTCTTCACGTGTACTTGGTTGATCGACAGACAATCCGAGAATCCACATAACTCATCTATTGCTGAGGTTTTACCTAGACCGTTGGACAACTTTTTGTTAAGCATTTTACTAGGAGTTTCACTGATGTGCTCTGCGGACATCTACGAACACAGACCTGCCGTTGTGGTCTGGTTTCACCTTGTGATCAACGGTGATAATGAAATCCGAGCCGCATACCACCTCATCAGTAAGTAATAGCCATCGAATTGGTGGGTCGTCGTTTGCAAACCAAGCTCAGATTCTCTTTTATTACACATATGAGTTACAGTAAAAGAGGAAATCCCAACAAACAAACAGCACAATGGAAAAAAGAGAATAGGGGAACATTCACGTATGATCCAGTTTATTGATTCTGCGTTTAAAGAGTACACGATTTTAAACTGGGGGGAAACCTGAAAGTGGGAGGGTGATCTCCAGTTTGGCAGTTCGGAGAAAGAAGATTGGAGCAGAGAAGTACGACATACGGTGACCGAAACCTGATAAGAATGTCTGTCTTTTTACTTCCTTTTTTATTTATTGAATATACAAATGTAAAAGTCAACATTCAGGAAAGGGGATCGCGACCATACAAAGGCTGCCTGGGAAGACAGGTAGTGGTGGAGCGATTCGAATCTGGGACTCACAGGTCACAAGTTGGTGACCTAACCCCTTGGCCACCACCACCACTAGATGCGCGTGCACGGGATGGACCGGCCAAAGTAACAAGAAGAGCCAATGCCGGGGAACAGCTCCGAAGAATGAAAATCAAAGTAGTAACAGTAGAGCAGGGACAATGAAGCAACCTCCCGGCGATGGGATAGTGACTGCAGTTGGATGATAGAGGTGGTAGGCGGCTCTGCCATCCCCTCCGTTCAGTACGACGCCTGATCTGTTGAAGTCTTATGTGGTCCGCAACTTCAAGTTTCAGGAGCATGGTTGCCAGTTTCTTTTTCATAACATAAACAGTGGACGAGCATGGACATCATCTGAGTGTGGTAGGTTTTCCCTTTGCACGCATGCTCTCCATCGAACGCCATAAATCAGACTAGAACACTGCAACGTAGTGAATAGGAACTGCCACAATTAAGGTCACTACCTTTCGATTCGCCTATTCGACAGGGATTTCTAGGAAGCAAGTGAACCTAACCACTGGTCATCGGCTTGACTGACACGACTCAACTGTCTTTAAGGTTAAACTTGGATATTGAAACATCAGAGGTATAAAATCTGACAGGAGTTTTTTATGGGACCGAGGGCAGTCCTTTTCCTGAAAATTCTCATGAACTTTGGTACTAACTCAATACGCTACGGTGTCACGGAGAAGCGACACACCTAGTATTTCAGCTTGCAAAATAAAACTTCAATCTGTTCGTACTATAATATTGAAATTAACCTCACATGACCTGGTGGATAACGGGGCGCTTCGTACACATGAGTTACCAGCGCATTACCACAAGGACGACACCCAACTGTCACAAAGATGTTGATTACCCCCATCACGATGAAATTGCACTTTGACGTGGTGCGATGGCTTGTACACCTCTGTGATCCAACGAGTTACACAGGATGGCTTTTGCCCAACCAAAGGTCAATGAGTAGAGGTCCATTCTTCTGGTCCTCCAGGTTAGGGGTTGGCGTCTGTCGGTAAAGTGTTGGAGGAGCAATTCATCCAAGTTAATCCGCCTGAACCGCTGCCTTGCTGTTAGGTTCTTGTCAGAACTAAAGGCTTTGGTTGAGAACCCTAATCGCTTTCCTGCTTAGTGCTTGGGTACCCTGGCAGCACCAGTCCATAAAGTTCCAAAGAACACAAACTAAAAATAATTTCATACTGCATCGGTTGTCGCTTAGGATAATCAGGACTGCGCTCCCATTGCATCGAGCCTGGTGGGTAGTGATAAGCGGACTACTGTTGTCAACTTCTGTTTAAATCCTTGTCTTCTATAACCAACTCTGTCCCTTTGCTCCTTTGTCGATCCGTAAGAGCCCATCCGCCGACTTGTTCGTCATTCGATTGACTGCGCTAAGTTTGTATTTATTGTTGCATTGGAATATATTAATTGGGTTCTGCCATGTTCACTCGCGTTCGTATCCCAGGGAATTATTTATTTATATTTGTATTCATTATTTAAATGCGATGGAAATGTTTGTGATAATCAACAAAGAGCACTGGACTGCTGTTTCGTCCTGTTTGGGACTCGTCAGCAGCGTGTACTGTCTGTCCCTGTCAGGAATCGAACCGCGATTCTTCGGGCTAGGACTTCAAACCCCTACTCTTGAGCTATACGGTAGACGGTTATCACCTTGTGCCAATGGCTCAATCAATTTAGACGATGGATGTTTGGATTAGCCCATTCGGTTTTTTCACAGGAACCGGGCACTGTTGATGATGTTCCGTGTTCGTCTGCGAAAAACCGAATGGGCTAATCCAAAAATTCATCATCCAGATATTTATTATTCTTCGGTGTTATCCATCTCACATGGTTCTGCCCGAACTGGATTTTCTTCTCGGAGCAAGAAACGAAAGCGTGCCGGGTGGCAGACCGTGCTTGCAAACATTCCTCCCGTGAATATGACGGTTCCGTCATTAATCAATTTCAGCATTTGCTCACTGTTTAGCAAACTGGCTGAACTCACGGACCTGCGAACTCATCGCGTACAATCAAACACGTGTGATATGCATACAGGAATCGTGGCCCGACGAAAAGATGGACTGGTCAACATACCTGGGTTTGCAAGCTTTCGACAAGACAGAGAAAGAAGCAAAGAGAAGTCTGGATGCGGTGTAATAACCTACATCAACTCAAGTTGGTGCGGCAAGTCCGAAATGTTGTTTGATTTCTCCTCTTATGGTATTGACTGCCTCGATGTTTCATGTCGACCTGGGTTTTCCCCTTATCGGAGCACAATTATTACAAATCTATACATTGCCCCTTCTTGCTCACAGACTGAAATTAGTTCTTTCTATGATGCATTCATTCACTTCATTGTTCCCTCAGTGGACGATAATTTATTTTAATGTCGGGGATTTTATTCACGGATCAACCCAACCTTTATTTTCTTCGGTCTATCAGGTCTCTCTTTAATGCCCACCAGAAGAAATACTATTTTGTACACGCTTATTACTAATCACCCTTATGTCTTCTCTCTCAAACTGAAGGCGCCAATTTCGTCTAGTGACTACTGTGTCCTATGTCTTATACCAAAAGTTTACTCTCGGTTAGCATACCCCGCTTTTATTCAAACAAAACAAATGAACATAAAAATTCGGAACCTTTCAGCCGACAAACTCTTTCTCCTGAGAAAATCTCTCGCTATTATTTCCACACGGTTTTCCGTTCAACAGCCTCCCTGTTCTATTGAACACTTTACAGAAACGGATAACGTGATTTTCAATCGATGCTGTTCTGTGGAGACAGTTCTTTTTCACACTGGTAGAACATGCTCTCCAAGGCTAAAAGCGCTTAGAAGACAAAAAGAATTAGCGTTCGAGATACATCAAACAGGCACTGTTAAACAGCTTACACTGCAAATCAGGGCAGAGATAGAAAGACTGAATGCATCGTTCGCAAAGCAAGTTCTGGGAGCTGGAAGACGGCAATGACAAGGGATCAGATTGCTTTGCGGATAGAAGAAACAGACAACGAACAAAATTGTTGACGTGTACAGCATCAATGCAGCATTTATTTAACTTTCGAATGATCTCCTGTCTCCGTACCCCACAGATCACCTATCTACCATAGACTCGGTCACCCAACAGGAGGATTACCTTCTTAAAACTACGAAAACCATAAACGCAGTTAGCCCCGATGGTTTATCTTCACCATAGCTCAAGTATGGCGCTGGTTCAGTCATAGAGATGTTCACGTCCTTTATTAACCAATCCATTTACACATGTTCGATTCCTGGGGACCGTTCACCATTTTTTCCAGTCCTTAATCTTCTTCATCAAGCGTTTTATCTAAACGCTTTCGTCCT